TTTTTTTTTTTTTTAGATAGGCGGGGGGTGATCTCACCTATCGCTCGATACCACAATATCATCGAAATTCGTTTTCCTGCTCAAGAACGAGCTCTTTGCACAGGGGGTAGCTTAAGTGGCCTTTAATACCCGCCGCTACTCTATGCCCAGGGATGTCAATCAACTACGCTCCCTTGTCGGTGGTCTCAGCTCCTACCGTAAGTTCCTCCCCAACATGGCTAAACGGATTCGACCTCTGACTACTTTACTTACGAAGCAGGAGAAGTTTATCTTCACCCCTTCCATGGAGCAAGCCGTTCGCGTTTTATTAGCTGAGTTGGCCAATCCCCCTGTTTTGGTTTATCCAGATTGGGATGTTGTTTCAGACGGCTCGCGACCTTTTCATCTTTACTGTGATGCTAGTCGCGATGGGTTTGGTGGGACTCTCGAACAAGAACAGCCAGATGGTTCCATTCGCCCATGTGTCTTCATCAGTCGGGCTACTTTGAACTCAGAATGCCACTGGACTCCCCTCGATCTTGAGGCGGGTAGCATCGTGTGGTGTATCAAGCGCCTTCGCGGTTACTTGTGGGGTACGAAATTTCGCATTTGTACCGACCACAAATCTCTCAAGCATTTTGCTAAGGTGGGGGAGAACAATGCCCGCGTTCAGCGCTGGCTGGAATTTCTTACCGCCTACAATTATACTCTCGAGTATCGCAAGGGTTCCGCAAATGGCAACGCTGATTTCCTCGCACGCCTCCCAGTCGCTGCGGCTGAATGCAACCGTTCGGGTCGCAGCCGTCTGACCCCGGCTGAGGATGAAGAGGCTGTGTTTTTCATCCGTTCGTGTGGCCGTACCCCTTCCGGTGATCGAGCCGCGGGTATTGGCTTGGGTGANGTGTATCAAGCGCCTTCGCGGTTACTTGTGGGGTACGAAATTTCGCATTTGTACCGACCACAAATCTCTCAAGCATTTTGCTAAGGTGGGGGAGAACAATGCCCGCGTTCAGCGCTGGCTGGAATTTCTTACCGCCTACAATTATACTCTCGAGTATCGCAAGGGTTCCGCAAATGGCAACGCTGATTTCCTCGCACGCCTCCCAGTCGCTGCGGCTGAATGCAACCGTTCGGGTCGCAGCCGTCTGACCCCGGCTGAGGATGAAGAGGCTGTGTTTTTCATCCGTTCGTGTGGCCGTACCCCTTCCGGTGATCGAGCCGCGGGTATTGGCTTGGGTGAGCTAGTTCCTAATTCCCCGACTTCGGTCTTGGGTGGGCTTGCCCCCTGTACGGTTGACTTCGCTGATTTCCGTCGGCACGGTTCGCGTCTACTGCCGTCAGGCCTCTCGTCTTCATCGGGCATTTGGAACGTCGCTTCCTTGTCGCCCAAGATCGCTCCCTTGCCGTCCGAGATGTTCTGCCGTTCGGCGCGGTCGCGATTGCGCAATCGGCCTCCCATCGTTTGGTCCGCTTCCCTACCTCAGTCTTTCGTCGATGTTTTGGCTCTCGAGTCCGAGCCTCCGTCTGCCGTTCACGCTCTTGGGAACCCGCGTCGGACCCTCGACCTCACCCCAAGTGCTCTCCACCAGGACTCGCCGTCGCAAGGCAGCTGTGGCAGGCATGCCACTCCCGCCTGTTGATTATGGTTGTTCTGACGATGAGCCTTCCTTGTCTCCCACGCGGATTTCCGCTCCCTCTCGACCGTTTCGGCGGTCTCCGACGGCGCCTTCGTCGCCGTCGATGACACCAGCCTTGCCCAGTTGGGTTTCGACTACTGCTGTCGGTGGTTTATTCTCTACTCCCTCTGCGCCTCTGGCTCATGGAGTGGAGACTGCGTCTCCGACGCCTACCATAACTGAGGTTGTTCCTGCTTTGCAGCCGTCTGCAGCGCCCGGCTCTTCGGAGTCTTTGTCACGTTTGGTGTCAACCGCTCGCGCGCATTCGCCTTCGGCTTCCATTGCTACTTCCTCGGATGGGTTGCAGTCGGCGCCTCGCGAATCAGCCCCCTCTTCTATCGAGGCGGCTTTGCATTTTTCGGCGGATGTAGCCTTCCGGGCGTCCGTCGAACGTTTCTCGCATACTGATTGGGCTCGCGAGCAACGTAACGAACCTGTGTGTGATGCAGCCATTCGTTTCATCCTTCTGGATCGACCTTCGGTCCTCCCTTCGGATTTCTTGGGCCGTGTTCCGTCCGCTCGTCGACCCTCTCTTTCGGAGATGCGTGACCTGTCTAACAAAGGCCGGTNGTCGGCGCCTCGCGAATCAGCCCCCTCTTCTATCGAGGCGGCTTTGCATTTTTCGGCGGATGTAGCCTTCCGGGCGTCCGTCGAACGTTTCTCGCATACTGATTGGGCTCGCGAGCAACGTAACGAACCTGTGTGTGATGCAGCCATTCGTTTCATCCTTCTGGATCGACCTTCGGTCCTCCCTTCGGATTTCTTGGGCCGTGTTCCGTCCGCTCGTCGACCCTCTCTTTCGGAGATGCGTGACCTGTCTAACAAAGGCCGGTTGTTGACGATGATGGTTTGGTCTTGCTTGTTCGCAAGCAAACAGCGACCCCGTCGTCCATGACCACGCGTCCTGGCGGACGCGCTGCTCGCCTTCTTAACGATGAACCCATTCGGATTTATGTTCCCATTCTCATGCGTCCGTGGATGATGCAAGTCTGCCACGCTGATGCGTCCTGTCACCTCGGTGCGGCTCGCACACTTAGCATGCTGGAACGTTTCTATTGGTGGATTGGCATGAGCGTTTGTACGAAATGGTGGGTGCGGCATTGTTTGCGATGCCAAGCCCGTAAATCGTCTCGTCAGACTCCTCGGTGGCCTACCATGTCCCTTCCTTTGCCTTCGGGCCCTGGTGTGTCGGTGAGTGTTGACCATTTTGGTCCACTTCCGTTGACACCGCGTGGCAACACATACATTCTGCTCTTTACAGACCGATTCAGCCGCCACGCTGATATGTACGCGGTTACGGCTGAAGAATTCATCGCCGAAGGCACAGCTGAGATCCTTGTCAACAGGTATATCCCTTTGTAGGGTTGCCCGTTGAGTCTATTGTCTGACAACGGGTCTCAGTTTTGCTCAAAACTGTCCCAAGCCATGTATGCCCGTCTTGCTATCCGCAAAGTGGCTACTAGCTCGTACCATCCCAATGGAAATGGGGGTGTGGAGCGTATCAACCACACTATGGCTCAGATGTTGGCTATGGTCGTCAACGAACGACAAGATGGTTGGGACATTCATCTCCCACACGTCGCGTTTGCTTACAACAATTCCGTTAGCGCTGGTACCGGTTTAGCGCCCAATGAGGTGTATATGAATCGATTGCCTCGTTTACCGATGACTGTTCTTGAGCATCCTTACGCTCGTGGCCACCAAAGCTTGCATCGTGATCAACTCGAATATTGCGATCTTGCTGCTGATCGCCAACGTCGTTCTTGCGACTTGGTGCGTGAACAGCATAACCTGTCCGTTTCTCGGATTGAGCGGCGTAATTTCACCCTATCGGACGCTTTCCATAAGCTTCAGCCTTACACTGTTGGTGGATGGGTTTGGGTGTTCGTTGGGGCACAGATGATAAGGTTCTCAAAGCCAAGTTATCCTTACTCTGGACTGGCCCCTTCAAAATCTTGGCTGTAGGCCCATGTTCTGACAGCCCTGACGGTCGTCCTTTGGCTTCCAAGTTGGTTTACTTGGATCTTCCTTCGGACCTGCCGGGCCAAGACTCGAAACCTCGTGTTTCGGTTGTGCGTTGCAAGCCTTGCGCCAACCCGCATGACACCGATGACCTGCCGCGCTTTCTGCCTGCTGGTCTTACTCCGTATGTCCTGAACTCTTATGCGAACAAATCTCCTCCCTACCATGTTATGGAAGACGACGTGTCAACTCCGGTTGAACGTTTAGAGGTTGAACGCATTAGTGGCCACCAGTCCGTCCGTGGCCGTGGGGGCACGATAGCTGTTGTATATCAGACACACTGGCAAGGCCTTCTGTGCCCTTCTTGGGAGCGTGAGTTGGACCTGCAGCATTCCAAGCCGCACATTCTCCGGTACTGGGCAGGTTCGCCTGACCAACATCGCCAAACAAATCGCCGTTATCGTGCGATGCGCATTGGAGCCGCGACCAGGGAATTAGCGCGTGCTCAAGGTACGCGAAATTTGCCTTCGGGCTGCTCGTTTGTTTCCCGTTCAACATGGGACCGTCGCTTCGCCAACACTCCTCTACCGGTGGCCGCCTTCTTCTGGTACAAGACACAAGATGGACTCTGGTGGTTGGGCAAGATTTCTGGACCAACTCTGCCGTCCGACGNGCATTAGTGGCCACCAGTCCGTCCGTGGCCGTGGGGGCACGATAGCTGTTGTATATCAGACACACTGGCAAGGCCTTCTGTGCCCTTCTTGGGAGCGTGAGTTGGACCTGCAGCATTCCAAGCCGCACATTCTCCGGTACTGGGCAGGTTCGCCTGACCAACATCGCCAAACAAATCGCCGTTATCGTGCGATGCGCATTGGAGCCGCGACCAGGGAATTAGCGCGTGCTCAAGGTACGCGAAATTTGCCTTCGGGCTGCTCGTTTGTTTCCCGTTCAACATGGGACCGTCGCTTCGCCAACACTCCTCTACCGGTGGCCGCCTTCTTCTGGTACAAGACACAAGATGGACTCTGGTGGTTGGGCAAGATTTCTGGACCAACTCTGCCGTCCGACGTCTACGTCGTCCGCTTCTTGGACGATCCTGGACCTGTCAAGCTCGCCCTTCCCGATGTTCGCTACTTTACCGTCGAAACCGCCGTCCCCGGATCCTGGTGCCTCCAAGTACACAGCGGCAGCGCCCTATCCAAGGGTGTTCTTCNCTTGGACGATCCTGGACCTGTCAAGCTCGCCCTTCCCGATGTTCGCTACTTTACCGTCGAAACCGCCGTCTCNAGCGCCCTATTCAAGGGTGTTCTTCGCAACATCGACATGTCGCGTGGCGACGTTGTGACCGCTTCGTTGTCTGATGACGTCGCGCGCCCACATTAAAATGGCATGCTTGGTTGTTTTTGCCTTCTGTTGCTCTTGCAATAGCATTAGACTATTTGTTTTCGTTTTCTCGTTTTCTTTCTTTCGGTTTCAATAGTCCGCCAGGTCGAGCTTTCTCTGTTTCCTGCGGAGGTTTTGCCAGCTGTTGTTTAGTGTCACGACCCCTCTTCTTCTTGGCTTCGCTTCCGACACGTTTGGTTTCCAGCCTTTTTGGTACGTTGTAATGCTTTTGTACTTCTTCGAATATTTTTGCCTCTACTTCTTAGACTTTACGGGCTGAAGGTGTTTCGTGACCTTTGTTGTCGCTCCCACGCTACCGTGGTGATTATTTGGCGTATCTTACCGTTTTGTCGATACAGGCCTTTTTCTTTCACCATTCCCTTTCCGTCGCTCCGGCGACGCTTATTTTGTTCGTTTCCTTCGTGTCCTCTTTTCCACTTTCTTTTGGGTTCTGACCTGGTATGGTATTTGTCGCCTTCGCCTGTTGCGGCTCTCCCGTGGGTTTCCTCTCTGTTAGCCCCAGTTTATTGCTTCCTGTACCTTCTTTTCATAGGTCAAACGATGGTCTTGCGACCCATCGAGTGAGAGGTGTGGGAGGGTAAATTGTGGTCTTTTGGAGCTCCGCATCCTCGATACTCTCATTTGGGATTTGACAAGTACTTGTCAAGTTCCGAGATTTAGAGTCTGCGTATGAGAACCTCCAGGGTGGGCAAGTGTTATGGGATTTGAATGTGTAGAAAAGTGCAAACGGTAGTGCGGGCTAATGCCCAGAGAAAAGTGTGGGAGATGCAACCCCCAACCGAAGGACAAAACAGGGGACAGGATCTGGTAGCCACTGCTTTAGCAGCTGGTCCTGGCCCCATCCTAGTCAGTCCTCTACCTTCCCTTGGCAACACCTACTGCTGTTCCACACGAGTTAATAACAAGTGAGTTCGTCTTCACGGGTCTCCCAGATTGCACCGCGCGTACTTATCCTTTACACAATGAGGATCACCTCCCATATATCCGTAGAATATAGATGTACAAGCGTAGAATAAAAGTAACATCAATAAGCATAACGACAGTTAAACTATCAAAGCAAAAAATCCAATCAACATGGAAAGAATCAGATTCTAGCCAAGGCATTATATATGTATTAGGAACTTCTCCTCAAGCCTACCTCGTAAAAAGCGAGGCTACTTAAAAAAAGCTGATACCAACACAAGATATTGTTATTAAACCAGAACCACGCCGACCAAGAAAACGTCCAAAAAATCCTGCGACAAGAGAGCCAAGAATGGGTCAAAAAACTATGGTCAAATACATCGTAGTTCTTTACGGGATTTGAACCCGTAACTTTTCCTTGGCGTCTTGTTTGAGAGTAGATGTGACAGATTTGCGTAGAATAGGGTAAGATGTTATCATGAACGGAGAAGAAAGGGCTTTTCCAACACGGAGGTGTAGCATGGATCAAAGCATTTGTTGGATTTCAGCTTTTACAAGAGGACATCAACGCAGTAGTATTTTAGCAAGCTTACGAACGCATATAGAATACCATGAGGATTGTCATTGGTTTTATTTCAAGTTGAAGAGGAGATATTTTTACGATGTAAGTGACAGACAGTAGAAATAAGTCCTACATATGTTGTTGTACTTCGTATTGGTTTAATATTCATGTAGAGTATGAGACATTAAGTGAATGTTTTCTGAGGTACATCTGCAATTGTCGGAAGGCAAACAAAATAATAAAAATATCATTCTAGGTATCAAACCATACATAAGACTAAAAAACGTTTGTGCTAAAATTAACCTACATCCATAAACCAGCCCAAACTAAGTTTGAAACCGCAGCATGTATTACAGAAAAAAAAAACATTTGGATGAAATTTTAAAGGAGTATAAGCCGTGGGCGGTAGCTTGCTCCTAGAGATATATGAAGGTAGGTTCTGT